AACCAAAAAAAAAAAAAAAGAAAAAAGAAAAAGATTACAGGATTGCTTCATCACTGCCTACAATATTTTCAGTAGGTCACGATCTCAGCGTTACATGACGTGTCACGTTTCATGGAATGGCCAGGAGGCCCACAGTCATGTCGTGGCAATGTTGTGGTCGCGCACAACTAATCGGGACATAGATCTAGTAGGATTGTCTTATCGTTTCTCTCTACCTATATATTATTCCACAAAGTGGGGACGGAACAATTTTGTTTAAAAAATACATTTTAAGTACAGGGTGATCCAAAAAATACTTTACACTCCTTTTTTTGGTAAATATTTCCCTCACACTGTAGCGTTGTGTTTCATATTATTTGAACAAAATATTTGGCAGGTAAAAGGAATTTTCCTAAAGTTAATTTTAGATAGATCTAGTTCTACAGAATGTTTTGCTCTGAATAGTGCAAAAGAAAACAACCCGTCTTTTCCCTTGTTCCCCTTTTTGTAGCATGACACACCAGTTTGCATTAGGCCTACCCTAAAAGTCGCACCGATCGCGCCATATTGCAAGCTACAGTAGTCTAACAAGTCAGTAAAAGTTTGCAGATATATTTTGCCCTCATGTTTTTTTTGCCTGCTGAGATCATAGTTAATTTTAGTAAAGAACACAGAGCTTTTTTATATTGAGCATCACCTCACCTCTTACTCATAATCCCCGACATTTCATAAGTTTCACACAAAGTGCGAAAAGAAAGCTAAAGTGCCCTTAACCGGCCTTTTTTGATGGCATGGATGGAGATGTTCCGTCAGTTTAAATATATAGAGAGAATCAGAATTTAAAATTCCTAAACAAAACGACCACTACAGATCTAAAACGAACGTTTCGCACCCCTTTATATGCCACCAGGTTACAGAATTCAGTAGTCGAGTCCCATGAGACGTCTGTCCGCTGACAATGTCTTCGGCTAGGACTCCCCTGCACCTTAATGGTCCACTTTCTCAAGGTAGATTTTCGCCTATGACAGTATCATTTTCATGTTCGTGAGGCTGAAATGGATAGGAGGATGGCAAGGCGTTCATGGTTCCTCGGTGGTCTTGAAAAGCGTAAACATTTCCTCAGTGACATTTCATTCAATTCAATGCAAAGTCTATTTTCACCTTTTAGAATGTGTCAACTCCACAAACATTGTCTACTGGGCACTCCACCCACCCTCTATCACATTTAGAAGACACTGTCTATTGAAAAGCTAACAGTGTGTGCGGTTTTAAGCATTCATGGTTTGGCGGGTCCTTTTGTTCGGCCATCATGAATGACGCTTCAAAAATGTTTGGAATCCAAAGGAGAACATGTAGAGCACGGCTCTAAGGATTCTAAAACAACAATGTTAGCTTTTTTAAATTCTATAAGAGAAATTAAATACTGTTTAAATATTACAGGGATAAAAAAATTGAATGTTAAGACATGTAAGAAAAAAAAGCTAACAAATCGGTTCATAACTTTCCTTGTAAAATCTTTAATTGGTGCATTTTATGGTTATAGATGTTTTTTCCTTAAGCCGTTTTTGTTTTCAAAAATAAGTTTATCATTATGAATTTTACTCCTAACAAATCCCCTTTGAATGAATAACGTCTGTTCCAAATTACAACATTCTAGAACAATTTTTAAGTGAGAAATGCAGAAAAAAAGTTGTAGTAAAAGTTTTTTTTGGATCACCCTGTATCTTACGTTCCCATCATTATCAATACATGTATAATTTAGATCATTTAGGAGGTGGGCTTTTACCCAGACTGGCAGGGCCAACACCGGCTGAGAGGGATACAACGTTCCAGCAGAAAGACAGAAATAGTCGATAAAAATATTAACTCCACACAAGAAAATCAAAGTCGGGTCTTCTGTGTGTGACGGCTAAGCGCCTAACATCTACACCACAGACGCCAGTGTTCAGTGCTATGCTAATTTGGTTTTTGCCTAAGTCATAGGTACAGCCAGTAAAATTGCCAGGGTTCTGAAAAAAATAAAACATCACAGAGTCAAGCTGCATTTAGGAAGCATATCTCAGTCCAAGAAATACATTGTATTTTAGGAAATTAATTCAGAAGAGGCACTCTTCCAAATTCCAAATAAGATCAAATAATATCACACAAAGAATGCAGCAGCAGCAGCAACAACAACAACAAAAAGACTTCCTCTCTCCTAAAAAGAAACAGAAAACAAAAAACATTTTCTCCCGAATACTAGATCTATAAGCAATGTGGTCACAAGTTAAACAAGGAACTTGGAAACATGTCCTTCGAAAAGCGTCTTTATTTTCTGCAGTTATTTATTTGCTTGCAATGAACATTATTCATTTCATTTATACAAATAGGGCCTATATGTACAGGTAATAAAAACGAAATGAAAACTTACACTTTATAATCACAACATCCCCATGCTGTACCCATAATTGGTCGCTTTTAAGGACAAGCGGGCTTACCCAGATTTCGTGGGTTTCCAGAAATCTTGACCTACACCAAAAGTGGGCATTGCCCTACCTATAGGAAAAGTTTGGTTTCTTTGATGAGGATATTTGTTTAGTTATGAGAAAACTCTCCTTGTTTTTAATGAAGCTGAACAAGGGGCAAAAACTTTATTTTCGATTTTCTCAAAACAGCATTTTTCGGGATAGCCCACTTGTCCTTAAAAGCGACCATATGTTCTACCCACGCCCAATGTTGCTTGAGTTCGGTGATTGAACCAGCCTCAGAATTTCCAACATGGCTGACGCTATTTGCCCGTGGAGATTTCTGCGACCTCGGGTGGCTGGCATTTTCTGCCCACACGGAGCCGGTCACCTAGATCTAGTCTTAGTCTTATACGGGGTTCCTACTACGGCTGGATCGGGTCGATCGTTGGACTCTATTGCCTGAAACTGTAAACAAACAAGTTTTGTTTTTGAGGCGACCGAGTCGGGTGATCTCATCCGTCGAGGGCTATAGCGTAAACACGGCCTCGCGGACTTCCGAGCGACATGAAGCTAATGAGAGCCCCTAGTACACCTCTGTGATTGACCCAAAATAGATCATGGATGATATTTTTCCGCCATCTATTTTTGTCGTCTTCCGAGGTTTCCCTCGCGAGTTGACTACATTGTTGTAGATCCCCAAGATCTATCACCCTTTAATAATTATTTAATTATTATCATTCATCGGAATGCCGGTGACAAAGTTACTAACAATAGAAACGCAGGATTGTAATGTCATTAAAGATTGTCTAACTACTACCAAAATATTCCAATTGCCCTATCTTTCGTCTGAACGAGACTTGGGCGCTATATCTACCTCGTCTTCTTAGCGCGTGACGGCCCGTGATACGAGTGTAAACAAACGTTCCAGCGCTGAGTTGAAAGTGATTAATTTAGTCACCGGGCAGAGAGAGAAAAAGAGAGAGGAGGAGGGGGGGGGGAGAAAGAGAGAGAGAGAGTGAGAACGAGAAAGAGAGAGGAAGAGAGAGAGAGAGAGAGAGAGAGAGAGAAAGAGAGAGAGAGAGAGAGAGAGAGAGAGAGAGAGAGAGAGAGAGAGAGAGAGAGAGAGAGAGAGAGAGAGAGAGAGAGAGAGAGAGAGAGAGAGAGAAAAGGGTTGTTATTAAAATGATTGATTCTTGTCGTTTTCTCTATACGTCGGTTCACGAACTGACCCGGTGCAATACAGTCATTATTGTACCCACTAAGGCCAGTCCGATCTTCATACACAAAAATGTATTATGATAATGTCAATTTGGTCAGGTAATTGCAGTCAGAGTCAAACTTTCACACTTGAACCGATCCGACTTGACTTGGAGGACAAGGAGTGACCGAGTGAGTGACTGAATCTTGCGCGATTGATCACGCGAATTTTAAAGGAGCGTGCGCAGAAATTCCCACGGGCCAGAACAAGGAACATGTGAAAGAAAGAAATCCCCAAGGGCCAAAAGCCGCAGGTCAGGCGGGGCTAATCGACCGAATTCGTTCTCCCGGAACATGTGCAGAAATCCTAGATCGCGGAAGTAGCCTGACGCTAGTCACCCGACATCGGGCGAGTCGCCACTCCGTAAAAAAATTCGCTTAAACTTAAAGTGCCTTTCTCAAGGACACAACGTCGAGCCTGAGGTCAAAGAGTCTACATAACAAGAGGGGCCACTCCTCTCTTTGAGGCAATTAAAAAAGTGTCCTCAAAATTCTGTGGCGCCCTCATCGAAAATGCGCACCCTTTGCGAACAGAGTTACCCTACTTGAGTTTAAAAAATCAAAATGAAACTAGCAAGTTTTTAAATAAATTTCGGAAGAACGTTTTAAAAAAAAATGGTTACGCTGACAAAAACCTCTTCCAGAGGAAGGGGTGATTGTTTTCTTCCTTTAATTTGACTTTAGAATGAAAGGCGAGAGGTCATTAAAATAAAATAAAAAAACCCTAAAACTCCGCACTGAACGAACCCGAACTGCTGATGAACAGCAGTCGATCTGCGCACGCAAGGAGGCGCTATTCCTATTCTTCTTCTGGAAAAAACGAAAGAGAGCTTCAAAACAGACTGCAGGGCCATCTGAAGCAAAGAGCGGACTTCCGGCGGACACTTTTTTGGCTGAATGGATCATCTTGTAGTGTACTATCTTTGCTGAGGTTCGGACCTCCCGAACCCGCAACCTCACGATTACGATTCCGGTAGCCTTATCACAAGAACGTCGATGCCACAAGGAAAACAAAACAAACACACCCAAAAGCACTAACTGACAAATGCATCATAGCAGAAAAGACAGAGGGTTAATAATACTAAAACTGTCAAGGAATAGTGATAGGCTGTTTATTTATAATTGACCTTTTTACGTTAAACACATTCAAAGCACTACGGATTTGCTAATAATACAATTTCAGTATTTAAAAAAAAGGACAACAAAGCATTGGCAAAATTAGTTGAAAAGGTCAAATTCCCACCACTTTCCCTTTCCTTGTTTGCTTCAGGGATCTTTCTCGAAAAGGTCAATCAAACTAACGGCGTGCAATATTACTGAGAAATATGTCCTAGATCTAGAACAGAAGTGAACGAAGCAGCATAGAAGTCACGATGAGTACCAAATGGTCAATATGTGAACAAAACGTTTTGTTTGGTTTTCACACGTCTATGGTTGGTCGTGGCAGGGTGTCACCGCCTCATGTGGCGGTCAGTTGATCCCCTAGCTCCCAGCGCCCTCTACACGAGTAGCTGATCGCCCCATTCCTTTTTGCTGCTGTAGGGTCGGGTTGCCATATACCCCTTGATTTTCTCATTCGCTGCTACCTTTTCCAACAAGGCTTTGCACAATGGGAATTCGTCAATTGGTCCCAGAAAGGGTTTCATCCAACCAGTGACAACGTCAAAGATAGCGATGTCAGCCAGACTGATCTGTGGACGGAATGGCAGTAAAGAATACTGGGATAGAGAAAGGAGTTTTAATTTTAGTAAGAGTTTTACTGTACATGCAACGGAAATAGGTCGTATAAGTGCCTAAGATTGGAGATATTGCTTGAGAGCTAAAAAAAATCATTAGGCGTTTTTACACTCCTATCGACATCATTTAGATGGCGCACTTCCAACCGTGACTTTCAGGGCCAACCCAGGCTGAGAGGGATACAAAATCCTAACAGAAAGACCGATATACTCCATAAAAGTTTTCTCCTCACTCGGGAATCAAATTGGGGCCTCTTGCGAGTGACAGCAAAGCGCCTAACCACTACACCACAGACTCAGGTTTACAAGAGACAAAGAAAGAAGAGATGTAAGAACGATACATATTTGATAGAAACTAAGGAGTAAATCCCATCAGAGCACCCGACAAACACCCACATAGAGAAAGGAAAGGTATTGACTATGCAAGCAAAGAGGAAAAATGTGTGTGCCCATAAACATGAAAAAAATGCGTGTGCATGTAGGTGTGTGGGCACGTAGGCCCTATATAATGAACTAGCTGGGCCCCCCTTTCGATGAAAGGAATGATCAGAGCATTAACATCAACTGAAAGTCATTGGCCTGCTATATTATTTGACACTCAACTGGGATGGAGCAATAAATCTTGAGAGAAAAGTGACACATGTGTTTCCAAGTTGTCAAATATATACTAGATGTATACATTGATTCTCTATTCCGCTTTCGTGGTTGTACACTCCAGAATTTCAAAGGTGTGGAAACGGTGCGCACGGCTATTGAACGGAAGTCTCACTTGTTTACAATGGCGTCTTAGAAGACAGATTTCCCCAAGATTAGATCTAAACGAAACTAATGAAAACTGAAAAAATTAAACTACAGTGACTTCAGGCTCCTCAATAGAACTGTGCACTTTAAAATAATTATGAACCACCATTAACTAATTGTTAAATTCGAAAGTTAAGTGGTTCCGAAGTTTTAGGCGGCCAAAGTGACGAACTTTCACAAATATTATAATATGTATAGATAATAATAATAATAATAATATATAACATTTATAGAGCGCATTTCCAAAAAAAGTAGCTCAATGCGCTTTACATTGGAATACCCATTTTTCAAAAACCTTTCTTACTACTTCCTTTCTTCTCAAGCAATATACATTAATGCACACACACACACACACACACACACACACACACACACACACACACACACACAGAGACTATTTTCATCCAGACATAGGAAAAGAACAAATATAATGAAAGATAACGTTAAAAGCTTATGAAGGATAGGCCTGTAGGAACAGAAAATGTTTAAGATGTCTTTTGAAGCTATCAAGTGTTCTTATTTGTCTTAGTTTCATGGGTAATCTGTTCCACATAAATGGACCAAGATATGAGAAAGATCTCTCTCCATATGATTTGTATGATTTTACAGGTGTCACAAGTAGGGTGTTATCGTTCGATGATCTTAGGTTTCTCCCTGGTTTATATATACTGATAAGTTCTTGTAGATAAAAAGGAGCAGTTTTATTTACACATTTGAAACACATGACGCAGATTTTAAATATTATTCGTTCTTTTACAGGGAGCCAATGCAGTTCTTTTAATAATGGAGTGACATGGTCTCGTTTTTTAGATCTTGTTATCAGTCTAGCGGCATTGTTTTGAATTACTTGTAAACGATTCAAGTATTTGTTGTTCAGACCTGCTAGGAGTGAGTTACAATAGTCTAATCTAGATAGGATAAGAGATGTTACCAGTGTTTTTGTGGTCTCTTCGCTTAAGTACTTTCGAACTAGGCCTATCCTTCTCAGCTGAAAATAAAGGGATTTGGACAGAGATCCTACAAACGAGCCCATTGATAAGTGGTGGTCAATATATACACCGAGATTCCTGACAACTTCTTTACTAGATGTCATATGCCCATATAAATCAAAGTTGACACTTTCCAGATCTTTATTTAATCGTGGATTTTTTATAAGAATGATGTCTGTCTTTTCTTCGTTTAGTTTCAATTTGTTTACTGTCATCCACTTTTTGATTTCATAAAAACATTGTTTAGTGATGGAAATCATGTTTGGTAGATCTTGAATGGTGCCATTAACATACATTTGGGAATCATCGGCATAAAAATGATAATTCAATCCATGATTTTGTAAAATGCTTGCTAAGGGCTGTGTATATAGTGTAAAGAGCACTGGTCCAAGAACGGACCCCTGTGGAACTCCATAATCGAGCCTGACCTGCTTTGAAAAGCTATTTTTAATTTGCACTGACTGAACTCTTTCTAGTAAATATGACTTAAACGTCTGTGTGTCTGTATCTCTCTCTCTCTCTCTCTCTCTCTCTCTCTCTCTCTCTCTCTCTCTCTCTCTCTCTCTCTCTCTCTCTTTGTGTGTACGAGTGTGTACGCGTGTGTGTGTATGTATGTGTGTGTGTGTGTGTGTGAGAGAGAGAGAGAGAGAAAGAGAGAGAGAGAAAGAGAGAGAGAGAGAGAGAGAGAGAGAGAGAGAGAGAGAGAGAGAGAGAGAGAGAGAGTATGTGTGTTCAGGCAGAGATACAGACAGACAGAGACAGAAAGTCAGTCAAAAACTGAAAGAGAGATGGAGACAGAGATCGAGGGTAGGCTTATCACTGATTGATTGTAAATGTCTGCAGCCAGCCAGACATTCTCAATAAATTTGACTTTTCCACTTTTGCGGACGCCTTTAAACTCTTTTTTTTTAGCGAATAGCTTAATTGTTTCTATTGGCAGTTCAAGGGTCCTTTTAACGGCCATAGCAACCTTCGTTCCATCTCATTATTCTATATGAAGGCTTTATTATAGTGCTTTCAGAAAACAGTTCTTGTCAACATAAATAAAACATGTAGAACAGTTTTATATTATTATACTAAGCATACCTGATTTCCAGCAACGTAACCTGTTCCAGTCTTTTTCAGAATCTGTTCGAATCCTCCAAAGTACAGACGTGTGGATTTATCCTGACAGTCTTTAAGACACTGGGCCTGTTGGTTTTATAAAAAATAAATACCATGTGACTGCTCTAACGAAACCCACAACTTGAGTACAATAATTCATTATCATTACCTAAGATCTGTCATGGACCTGTTTGCTCTCGCTTAAGCTCATGCTGGACCAACACGTTTTGTTTTCTTTCTGATACTTTACCAGAATTCGGGGAGAGTGTGAAATGGTGCGAGGAAGGCCATATTTATTCGGTGTATGTATTGTGTAATTGGGGGGGGGGGATTATACATTATACCAGTTTTCAGTTCGACTGACCGAATGATCCTATGAGGTTTATTCTTTCCTCTTTTGTGAAATCAGATATGGCGTCGTTTACTGAACACTTGACCCCATTGACGTTCGAAGTGCATTAACCCCAAACTTTGGTTGCCCTGAGCTGTCAGTCAGAGTGTGTGACCCAGAGGCTGTCCATGAAGTACAAGGCTGCTTTTTCGAGGTAAAAGTTGATGTACGTGCCTCTGGCAAATCTCAAAAAAAATATTATTGCTTTTTACGCCCCATTGACACAATTTAGATCATTTAGGAGGCTGGCTCCCAAACCTGCCTGTCAGGGCCAACCTGGGAAGAGAGGGATACAACATCCCAGCAGAAATAATAGACTTGCATTATGGTATCCAAGAATGTGCATTCTCGCGTTATTCCGGTTCACTACGGAGAGCACCATTTGACTCTATTTGGTGCCAAATGAAGGGTAAGAGAGGAGAGGTTGCGCACGCACTCAACCACAGCTAGACTGGTGTTTATTGCTCTTCATTTGAGCGCCCATTGTGTTTTTGTGGAGAGCAAAGAGCTGCGGTCATGACAATGCCCAGTCTAGGACAATAACTCAAGTCTAAGGTGAAGACCGTGTGAAACCTGGAAAAAAATCACAGAAATTGAAGTGTAGAAAAGTGAAAAGACATGGAATAACATCAAGAGGGTAGCCCAGGATAGAGAAAGGTGGAAAGTGTTTGTCCGTGGCCTATACCCTGGCGCAGGGAGAGAAAGGCAATGATGATGATGATGTTGGAGTAGAGCTTACCCTTTTCTCTTTATCTGGCTCTTTATACACCACTATCGATACTTCTATGAAGTCATGGATGAGGTTTAGAACCTGGTCTATCAATAGGCCGTCTCTGTTAGTCTTCCCGTAGAAACCTTTAAAGAAAAGCAAACAAAAATTGTATACACATTATTCGTCTTATGTCATGAGTGTGTGGCGTGTGGGTTATGCGGACTTCTTATAATATTATGTGACACAAAAATATTGATGCAAATCTTCTGTTAAAATGAAACAACAGGCGGGAATTGTTTATCTATTAATTTACCCATAACCATGCTAGTTTGGGAAATGCTGCCACATTTAGTTCTTTGTCTCTAGTAAACGTTTTTCTAGGATTTCCACCAACATATATTTGGCTCAAATCTAACAGTGATGGGCTTTGAATTCTGTGGCTTCTGAAATAAGCTTACTCTGTGAAAAAAGGCGCTAAACCTACATAATTTTTTGCCCATTACTTCTATTATTATCATTAAAAACAAATACACAAACAAACCAGGAACAACTAGAGGAAAGAAACAGAACGGGCAAACAAACGGAAAACTAACATTACAAACATCTGCGAATATTATAATATGTTACAAGAGACAATGAAATTAGAAAACTTGCACTCAGTTCTCTTACCAAACATAAAAATATTATAATTACACGTATTTATTTCTTACCAAATTCACGGGCAAAATATATAGCAATGGCCATGGACTGTGCATGTACCTCTCCGTCTATTTCCACCCATGGTGTTGTGCCAAAGGGAGCCTCTGGCGTATAGAATTTAAAAAGTACCGGTACAAGATACATGGTTTATTATTAGCATTATGAAGATTAGTTTTGCGAAGAAAATAGCAGAATCTTGGAAATTTATTTTGTGATGGAGACCAGTTAGATTAGTTTACTAAGAGTTTTACGGCGCTCGCAACTGCGCAATGTCATATGAGGGTGCGGTACACAAGTTGGTTGCAGTCGCTGTAACAGTTCATAGCACGGCTTGGCTTAGGTCAATGATCAGATTAAAATGTAAAAAAAAATTGTGATGAAATAACGATCTAAAAATGACAATTTCCTTAAAATTAAAACAACCTTATTTACAATTTACTGTAAAGGCCAATGGCTTTCCGAAAATAGAGAATTCTGCTAGGATCGACAACAGAGAACAGATCTTGCATTTAAAAAAAATTAAAATACCTCCCTCGGGTCTCTCCGAAGTCTGGGCATTCTGTTAAGATCTGATTAATGGTGAAATCTGTGTCGCACCCGGCACAGAACGCTTTCTCATCTCCCAGAAGGTGGTATTAAAATTTGTGTGTCAGGGAGGTGTGTCCGAAGCGTAATCGAGTAAAAATGACTTCGTCTCTTCTGGAGAGGCCAGAAGATTTTCGTGGACCCAGTTTAGACATGATGTTGTGGAGACCAGGGGCCGTTAACTATTATGCTTAAAGAATGCGAACGAGTTATGTGCTTCCAAATCCTAAGATGTGGCGATAAGTCTTCTTTTTTCAATTAAAAAAGAGCGCAATCGGATGAAAAAGGCCAAGACGCAAACCGAACGTATATTGGAGATGGTGTGCCGAAAGTTCCTTTTTACGAAGAGAGAGAGAGAGAGAGAGAGAGAGAGAGAGAGAGAGAGAGAGAGAGAGAGAGGGAGACAGACAGACAGACAGACAGAGAGAGAGAGAGAGAGAGAGAGAGAAATATAGATAGATAAAAATAGAGAGAGAGAGAGAGAGAGAGAGAGAGAGAGAGAGAGAGAGAGAGAGAGAGAGAGGGAGAGAGAGAAAAATATAGATAGATAAAAAAAGAGAGAGAGAGAGAGAGAGAGAGAGAGAGAGAGAGAGAGAGAGAAGGGGAGAGGGAGAAAAAGAGAGAGAGAAAGTGTGTGTGTGTGAGAGAGAGAGAGAGAGAGAAAGAGAGAAAGAGAGAGAGAAAGAGAGAGAGAGAGAGAGAGAGAGAGAGAGAGAGAGAGGGAGAGAGAGAGAGAGAGAGAGAGAGAAAGAGAGAGAAGGGTTCCCACAAATATTTTGAAAGAAGTTTGCACTCATTTCATGTAATATTGATACTTATTTCATTATTTTACAAATAACTCAAATGATGAGAATTCCATAAGGTTCTAATACATAATTTTTGAAGAAAATTGACCAAAAGCATCTAATTAAACAACAACAACAACAACAACAACAACAACAACAACAACAACAACAACAACAACAACAACAGCAACAGCAACCACACACACACACACACACACACACACACACACACACACACACACACACACACACACACACACACACACACACACACACACACACACACACACACACACACACACACACACACACACACACACACACACACATACACACAAACACACGCACAGTTCAACAATAACATTATCCATGGTACGACGTACTTTCTTTAAAAGACTTTGGCCAGTCTTCAAACGAAAATCTGATGTTCTCTATTTGTTTTCCTGCAACAGCAAACAGCATTCTAATCATTTCGGCACGTCCCATCATGTCGAAATAGTAGATTTTAACGTTAGGGCTGGACATGATGCTGGCTGATTGAAGGCTTTCCAAGAACAGTGGGCTAGATGGTGCCAACTGCAAATATAAATAAAAAGATGTCCAAGTTTTTAAGAATAAGAAACTGATTTACAACAGCTTGCTATGAGGCCTTAAGAGCCTCAGAATGTTTTGAAAACAACAGTGTAAAACGTTTCCCTTTTATTGGGTTCGGGGGTTCGAGCCTCAGCTCAGTCCGATGTTGTGTCCTTGGGAAAGACACTATACGGACTTCCCATTTGGCTCGGTCCTTTCGAAGATGGACGTTAAACTTGGAGGACCCGCCTCTTAAAGAACCTAATAGTGTTGATATGGGTGTTAAACCTAAGCCAATTCCCAATTTTCCCTTTTATTAGAACCTTATACCTGGGTGTAGCAATAACCTGTGAGAGTAACTGTAAGTTTGACGATACCACTCCTGAAAAGGATCACTGGCTCTTCATCTACCTCTCACTTGTTAAACTCTGCCAAGTCATGCTGGTCTATTTTTAAAAATCTTGTCTTTAGGTAAATAGAGGAAGCCTCTAAAGATTTTAATTTTTGCTACTCTGAAAACGTTAGCCTTGCAGACGTATTCCCCGAGGAGTGTGCACAACAAAACTGAATATAAAGAAGCAGTTGACTCTACCAGTCCTGTGTTTAAAGAGCCTAACATAAAGCTTCATAATATAATCACATTTTCACTTATTCTGATGAATTTTAAAAAACTTTTAGAGAGACTATATTCATCATCGATCACGCCTGTCTCTACAGGCGTCATGATTATCGGAGAACCACAAAATTTAATTGTTTACTGTGTGTGTCATCAGTATCTAAAATTTGTTTTGAAAAAGTTTCCTTTTTTTCCAGTCTCATACTTTCTTTCGCCTTATAGACTTCTTTCGTCAAAGAAAGTAAATGTGGTCCAAAAAAGGTCTGTGTTGACAAAAGTTTGAACTTTACTTTGATACAACATACAAACACCTGTGACTTATAAAGATTCATTTCTTTGGAAATAGATCAATTATATTAATTTAAAAAATCGTGCACATCCTAGAAAAAGCGCACATAACATGGTGATGCAGTTGTTGGGAATGAGCACCTTGAAAGCAGCACGATGTGAAAAGGAGCATCCGAACAGTTTTCCAAAATTCAATGATCTCAACACATCCACTTTGCAGAATGTTTTGCTGTGATAAAGATAATAATATTATAATATAATACACTGCATACACACACACACGCGCACGCGC